GTGTGTGGAAGGTGTGCGGAAGAGGGGGTAGTCTTATACGGCGAGTATATAACAAACTCTGTATTTTGAGTGGAAATGTTAGGGGGTCGTCTTAAACGCCCAGTCGTCTTATACGCCGGCAAATACGGTATTCCTTATTCAAGGAGCTAATGTGAAGGCTGGCATAGGCCTTGCCTAAGGGTTATAAAGATACATCTTTTCATTTTTCAGATCGATCTTGGAGAAGGAGGGACCAAAGTCACTTTTTAGAGGCTTGGGTCCAAATTTGGTTGGAGTCGCACCATCAAGGTAAGCATTAAACTTTCAGCTGGCTCCCTACACACATATGTGATATACCGAGTCCTTTCTCTCCGAAGGGCAGTGTGGCTGGATGCACAGTATCTTTCTCTGTGTAGGATTTGCCTTAAGACATCTGACAAATAGAAATAGTGATAACTGTTGGTGTATCTTTAGTGTGTGTAGAGAAAGAGATTGTAGTTATTTTATTAAGTTGACAATGAGTCTGCTGCCATCCCTGGCACCTTCTCTAAGTGTAATATGTGGGTGGCAGCATTGGATCCTCTCCCCTGGATGACACATGCTCGTTTTGGCAAGACAAGTGTGGTATATTTTAGAAATATTAAAAAATTTTAAAGTTACAGTATATGTTGGTGCTCAGAGGATTGGCATTTACCCGGCATGAAGAGTATAAATAGACTTTGCGTGTATATTACCAAAACCTCATTTTTCTTCATTATTTCGGGCCCGTCTATCATCACTGAATACTTTCTGGGGGGACGAGCAGGAGGTTACTGAAATAGCCTGCAGGAGGGTTTGATTTTAGCACAGATGAAGTCCAGCTTTTGATCACATGTTAACTTCTTTTCTGCATGATTTTCCTAAATGTTTCAGAGGTTGTGGAGGGAACTAGGTGCTTCTGCTGCCATCTTGATGTCTTTATTGTGCCCTGTCTTTGTCCTAACAGGGCTGTGTACTTCGCATGTTACTCCAAGGCCAAAGAGCAGTTCAATGGCATTTTCGTGCCTGACAGCAATGTCGTGCATGTTTTCTCAGCTGGCTCTGCAGGTATGTCACCCCAGTGAGCGAAGGTGAGTTTCCCACCTTCCTGAAGCACACGGTGCCAAACGGCTCGTTCTAGGAGTTAGAAAGTAGCTCTCTGCTACCCTTGCATCTAAAATCATTTTTCTAAAGCTGTATGTTGGAACTGATAAAATATGAGTGTTTGAGTTCAGTTTGTAACATGGCTCATGTTTCTTTGACCATGAAAGCTTTTTATTCTCCCTCAAAATGTACCTGGTCCATGCATGCTAGTTGTTAGTGTTATGCTTCTTTTAAAGGCATTTCAATGTGTTTTTTGTGTCTTTCTATTTCATTAAGTTATTTTCTAGAATTTGAGCTGCTTTTCTTGTGACTCCCCATGGTGTCCAGCACACCCTGTGTACAGTTGGCACTTCTGTCCTTAACACAGGATTCCACAATGAGGGTTCCGGGCTCTTAGTGGAGGCCTCTTACTGGGCGGCTGACAGACCAGACCACCACTGTTCTCTTGCGGGACCCATTCCACTTACTGTAGAGAATTCATAACAGGATTTTTTTCACCTGGGAAATAGTTGGCAAAAACCAGGGACTTGTAGATTGCTGAGAGAAGGCTATGTCTTTTTACATGTAAGGTTGTGTCTGTTTAAATAGAAAGGTGTTTTAGAGAACTTTAATTGGCATTTTGTGAAAAAGTTCCACCGTCCGCCAGCCTGTAAGGTGTATGCACCAGTTCTGTCTGCGTCTCTTATTCCAAATAAAAGTACTAGTAGTCCATCTGAATAGTTACAGATAATTTCTGGACCTCAAATAGAAAAGACTTTTGAGCAAAACGAGTGAGTATGGAGCTCTGAGGAAGAAGTATGGTGTCAACAGGGCGGGCTTCACTTAGGAAACCGTTAGTGAGTTAACTGTAAGCTAAAAGCTGTTCATCAGGTTTATAAATTTTGCAAAATTAACTTATAAGAACCTTTGGTAAATAAAACAGCCCTGGAGGGAGTTTATTAAAACGCTGTCTAGGTTCCTGGTGTCTAATCTACTTAGGACTGTGGAGGGGACGAGGTATTAGAGAAGGGTCACTGTGTGTCAGGATGCTACCATGATCCTGCTTGTTTTGGGTTAGTCTGGAATGATTAGCAATATTAAGATTGGGAAGACTTAATAAAATAATGGTTCCTATGAGTACATCAGTCTTAATACTTCAATTTCCTGAAATGATGAGTCAGGTGTTAAAATGTCAAAGTTTGGATTCAGGTAAATGGAGATTTAGTTCCTTCTGTCTTACGTTTGATATAAGGTTACCTTTTAGATTAGATCAGCAACTTTTTAAAACATATTTCTATGCCTGAAGCTTATAAAGTGAGTTTTTAGTTTCATGTTTACCATAGAAATCACATTAACAGAAGTGTCAACAGTACCACCTAGCGGCTAAAAACACTAGTTAGGGCTCTGGAAATTTAAGGGATTTCTTTTAGGCCCAACATATCAACAGATGTTACATTTTCAGGAACTATAGCTTCTGTCCGCAGTACAGAAATGTAACTGCTTCCTACTGTCCGTTCTTGTTATTGAACCATTGAAAGCCTGATTTCAGAGTTTATCAGATGGAATAGACAACTTCAATCAGCATTGACTGCTCAGCGATGACACTTTCTTTTTTTCTTTTACTTCCAGCTTTTATCACAAATTCCTTAATGAATCCTATATGGATGGTTAAAACCCGGATGCAACTAGAACGAAAGTAAGTTTTTAATTGTTCCTTCCTTAGTATAAGAATTCTGGGGGATTTTTTCCTTCCCCCAGTTCCACTTATGGAGTGAGGTGTACCGAGGTCTTAGCCATCCCGCCCTTGTTTTTCTGAGTGTGAGCAAACGCTGCGTGGAAACTCCTTTTGTTTTGAAATTTGTGCTTTGAAGCATTGTGGAGAGACAAAGACCAACAGAACTAACACAAAGGGAGATGGGAAACTCACTCAGTTGTAGCCCCTGATGTGCAGTGCAGTCCTGCCTTCTCTCAGTCGGGTCTGTGCTCTAGGCTGACACCCCTTTTCCCGCCCCCAACCCCTGGAACGCTGGCGGGGGAGGGGTACCTCTCCTAAAGATGGCTTTTCTTTCAAGTGGGAAGATGCCCGTAAGGGCGGAACAGCAAATGCCTTCAGGCCTCAGATGGGTTGTTTTAATCTCTAAGTCCTCAGATATCCTAGATTTCTGCCCTGAAACCCTTTCCCGTGCTGTGGATTCCTTTGGCAGTCTGGTGAGACCTGCAGGCCCTTTTTAGAACAATATTTTTAGAAGCAACAGAAACCAATTAATGAAATACAGTTATTAATGTGTTTTAAAAGTGTGACATAGTAATATACTTAATATATTCAATCAAGCAGCATCCCAGTAACTACTGTAATTTCAAATAAATGATGACAGTAAGTGATGGTTTGTGATAGGATCCTATCTAAGATCTCTTGTGTAACTGTGTTGCCCAGAACTGTGTGGGGCACTGGAAACTTCCGGCTAGTCCAGCCTACTTTAAAGCTACCTATAAAGGAAAGAGGAGAGAGCAGAGTGCCCCGGGGCAGGCAGGTAGGGGGCTGCCTTGGTTTTTCTCTTCAATGACCACAGCAGCCTCTAACGTGGTCTTTGATTCCATGTTCCCCCCAGCCCATTCTGCCTGAAAGAACCTTCTAAAAATGCATCAGGTCTAATCATTTTGAACAGCTCACTTATAATCCTTCGATAAATCTCAGTTGCTGTCAGGGTTAAATCCTAACTCCTTGGTTTACCATTCAAGATCCTTTGCAAATTCCTAAAAACATCACATGCTGGTATGCTTCCATCTCCCTGAGTCGGCCGTCCCTCACCAGGAATCCCTTCTCCCTTCTTGGCTGTCCTAACACCCACCGGTCCTTCTAGCATCACCTGGAGACCTTTGGTAACTCCTCCCAGTTCGAGGTGTGCACAGTGTCCTAATATCTCCTCTGTTTAGCAGTGGATAAACGCACAAGTCAGCCGAGAGCGTTATGTGCATTCTTTTAAATCTATCTGGCAGCAATCCATACTCAGGACATGTAAAGTCTTATTTGGGTGGCTCTGTTTACATGTCCCTCAATAATGAGTATATATTTCTTGCATGCTTCCTGTGCACGCGTCACTGGGGAAACCACAGGGAATAAGAAACTCAGCTTTACAAAAAATAGAACTACAATCTGGTGGGATAAGGGGCCTGAAGTATGCAGGACCCTGGAGGGTCCCTTATGCAGTCTAGGCAGAAGACAGAGAGAGGCAGCTGGGGAGCCTCCTGCGGTAGCACTGTCCACCCTACCATCTGACAAAACAGCTGGCAGTGAAGCATGCTGCAGGCAGAGCACCATGTGCACAGAAAATCTGGAGGCAAGAAAGCATCATTATTTCTGTGGCACTGAAAGAAGAGAAGCGCGGTCAGAGTGTACCACATGCGTATGTGCTGGAAAGGGAGGGAATTATAGGAGAAATGAGTGGGGGCCACATCCTTAAAAGGCCTGGGAAGGAACCTGGAGTTGGACGTGGGCTTTATTTTGAGGGCAGTGAAGAGCCATTAGAGCAGTCATTGGCCACTGAGGACACTTTGCTCCCCAGGGGACATTTGGCAATGTCTGGAGATGTTTTTAGTTGTCATAACTTAGGTGGGGTGCTATTGGCATCTAGTGGGTAGAGGCTGGGGGGGCTACTAACCACCCTGCAGAGCACAGGACAGTCCCATGACAGAATTATCAGGCCCAAAATGTCTGCAGTGCCAAGGCTGAGAGGCCCTGCTTTAGAAGATTTTAAGCAGGGGAGTGGTGTGGTTGGATTTGTGTTAAAAAGGTCACTCCAGCGAGGGTGTAGAGAACGACCTCGGAGAGACCCGCGGAGACTGACTGGAGCAGGAGGGGCCTCTGATGTCTGACCAGTGTAAACACTGATAAGTCCTGGGATTCCATTTGTATCCAGGCAATTGAGGAATCCTTTCTGTCGTGGGGTAGGAGCATCCAGCCTAAGGCTTTTGGCGAGTTATTGTGTAGTCTATTTGATGATCGTGATTTTATAAGTTTAGAAATAATGGGGTCAAAACACCCCATTTGGAGACGAGCGATAAGAAGGACCACCCTCACACGCACCACCCTGACTGAGGTTGGTGAGTTTCCCTTCTTATTTTCTTAAAACATACTGGTATCCTGACTGTAATTATGCTTTACATTTGCTTTTGTCCTGCTTTCTACTTCAAGCACTCCCCCATATCTAACTGTCCTCAGAACAGTTTTAATCTGGTATATATACCCATAGTTCACTTGTCTGTTCCTATTTTGAGGTATTTGGATGGTTTTGATTATGTTGCAGTTACATTTTCTCTGTGATGAATGTCTTCCTCCAATGTAGCTCTTTCCAAAATTAGGTCAGAGGCTGTGAACGTGTTTTTATGACTCTTGTACTAGTGCACACACACTTCTGTGGGCCAGTCAGGCGGCCCAGCCGACAGACCTGGCCTGGCAGGGGGGCCAGGGCTCAGCCTCCCACATGCCGGAGGACCCGTGGCACCCACACTGTACTGTCCTCCATATTCAGCAATCGTCTGTGTGCCTTGGTGCAGTAGCGGCTCACGCATGTGTATTCTGACTGCCTGTCGTTGGTCCCTTTTACACAGAGTGCGTGGCTCCAAGCAGATGAACACAGTCCAGTGTGCTCGCCATGTTTACCAGACGGAAGGCATTCGTGGCTTCTACCGGGGATTAACGGCCTCATATGCTGGAATTTCAGAAACTGTCATCTGTTTTGCTATTTACGAAAGCTTGAAGAAGTGTCTGAAAGACGCTCCATTGGCCCCTTCTACAAATGGGACTGAGAAGAATTCCACAAATTTTTTTGGACTTATGGCAGCTGCTGCTGTGTCTAAGGGATGTGCGTCCTGTATTGCTTATCCACACGGTATGTGTCACCTTTTCTCCCAGAGCCTTAAGACAGCTGTCAGGTTTGTGTCATTTGTCAGTATATCTAGACCCCTGTAGCTCAAACAGAAGTGCAAATGCCTGCGGGGATAATGGAACCAAGGACAGGTGCAACTGGCTTCCACTGTGTGTGTGGGTTGTGTGAGTGGCAGGGACTCCATGTCACTCGGCCCCAGCCCGTGGTGGCCAAAACGTGCTGTGCAGAATTTGGGCCTGTATTGTGGAACTTTTGGTGTTTTCAAAGAGTCCAAAAATCTGGATTTTATTTAAAATTCCGCCATGTCAAAAAATGATGTAAGAGCCAAACTTCAAAAGAAACCCTCTCAGCTTCCCCTTTGAATAGAGTGCTGAGTAAGGCTACTTTGGGTTTTATATTTTTATTTTTATTATTTTTTGAAATTTTATTGGGGAACAGCCATGGTCCTTGGTTACACACTGCTTCTGTGCTACAACTGCGCTCCTTTAAGGAGGGCGCAGCTCACAGTGGCCCATGCGGGGATTGAACAGGCAACCTTGGTGTTATCAGCATGATGCTCTAACCAACTGAGCTAACCGCTCACCCTGGGTTTTATTTTTTAAATTTGTGTTTTAAGGAATTACAGGTCTGATGTCCTTCTGACCCACTGTTTTAAAAATAGCTTAGTTTATTGTGCCATGAAACAGGTTTTGTTTTTCAAAAGCCTGCTGCACGGTCACCTATGACAAATGTCAGTGATCAACTCGATAACAGGTAACTGAATCTCTGTTGTGTGCTGGGGCACGGAGTGGCCTCGGGGCTCATGGAGAGGAGGTCAGGATGCCTTCTGTGGTAAGGAGACTAGCGTGTGCAGAGAGCTGCTTGACAAGGAGTGGCAGGCGATGTCCTGCTGTGGTGCCTGGAGAGTGAGGGGCAGGTGGGCGAAGGTTTGACAAAGGAGGAGGCAGTGTTTAAGCTGGACGGAGTGGAGAAGGAGTCGAGGAGGAGGAGAAAGTTGAGGAGTACATGGAATGAAAGTTGTGGGAGATATTACCATATTTAAAACCAATTCTACCTTCAATGAAATGATAATGTTTGCTTAATTGGGAGTAGAAAACCATAAACTTTATCTTAAAATTAAGTCCCATGTCAACTAAGCTATTTTTAATCCCTTAGTTATTTTGTACTTTTGTATGAATGTATAAATGTCCCTAAATGACCATTTCCCGGAGTTAGAAAATGGTCTAACCAGCTCTTAACTTTTCATTGTCTCTGTGACTGTCCTGCCCAAATTGAGCTCAGGTGGCAAATAGAGGTATATGTACGTTGACAGTTACAAAGCTACGTGCTTTGAAGTCTCTCCTCGTATGGCCTGGAAATGCAGCTTATTTGTCACATAAAGCATGTGTTTCTCTCTGCAGAAGTCATAAGGACGCGGCTCCGTGAGGAGGGCACCAAGTACAAGTCTTTTGTGCAGACCGCGCGGCTGGTCTTCCGGGAAGAAGGCTACCTTGCCTTTTATAGAGGACTCTTCGCCCAGCTCATCCGGCAGATACCAAACACTGCCATTGTGCTGTCCACCTATGAGCTAATTGTGTACCTGTTAGAAGACCGTCCTCAGTAACAGGCCAGAAAATTGTGCTCTGGAAGAATAAAACTGAAAAACTCGATAGAGAATTTTTTTTTTCCATTGATGTTTAGACTGTTTGAGACTGAAACAGGAAAGGCCATAAACTATGTGGCTTGTGTCGCCTGTTGGACATTTCCTTTTGGATTCATGTTTTCTGGAAGGTTTAAATTCATTAACGTTAATAGTTAATTATAACTTTTGTGTTTCATTTTTTTTTAACTTAAGAGGATTCAGGATTAAGCAGCAACTAAATTAAATCATGCTATTTAATTTAAGTATAAATTTGGTTTGTGTCCTCTTTTATGTTCACGGTAACTGTAAACTACAGCTGGGGACTCCAGGGAAACGTAACCCTAGAAATGCAGAGAAAAACTCTAATGTCAAAGCATGCTTGTTTTCTAGTCTGAATGTAAGATCTTATACTGGACTGGCAAGACCTGTCATGTTTTGGGGACATTGGACAGACTCCCAGCTATTTTCCTTCTTTGTACATTTCCAAGCCTCATACAGGTTGATGATCTAAGCTTTCAGGCTGCGGAGTTAAAAAAAATAATAAATCAGTGCAACTTCCTGACTCTAAATATTTTAAACTATAAATATTTTCCTGAAGTTATCCTCTATCCCCAATTTGAACCAAAGGCAAGAGTTGTAAAGACCTGCTTACCTGTAGCCTTGTTCTTGGATGTATTAATATTTCCGGAAGTTAAGCCTGGTCCAGCCCAGGTGCTTTGTAGGTGTGTTAGAGCGCAGCCTCCCGAGCGGCTGTGAACATGGCAGGTGGTGAGTAACAGACACTCCCTCTCAGGTCCTTGACCCTGTTCTCGGGTCTCTACTGCGGAGAAGAGGAACATAACACAGGTTGATTGCAGGCCCCTTGGGGAGTTTACTGTTATTCTGACAGAAAGTGTTGGTGTTGTTTACATTCCCTAGTTCAGAGTTAAAGAAAAAATTCTAGAAATGAGAAATTATCAAAATTGTAAGCACACCCCCACCTCCTATTTAAAAAGGAAATTTAATAAAGGACAAAAAGGTAAGACAGACAGCAGGGAAGATGGATAGTCTTCCATCAGCTTTTTAACCAGAATTTGCATATATTGTACATTAGGTGATTTTTCAATCTGAATATCTAGAAAGATATTTGACTTTAATAACTGATGCATTGGAGTTTCAGATTCAGTTGCAGATACTGTGGTAAGGTTGAGAGGAGATTTTCCAATTATATTTAAATCACGTTTAATTTTGTTACCCTTTAGTCATAAAGGAAGTTGGTTGGTGGTGTTGAGCAATCTAGTATAATTTACTTCAACTGTCAGCCACTGTGCACAAGTCAAAATAAGTGACTTCAGTCCATCTTCAGTGCTCCTAAATTACATGACAGTAAAGAGACTTGTTTCAGGACCTCATTTTAACTCCTCGATCATGGCCCTTGACAACACCTTTCTATTTTAATACTCATTTTAAAACCTGAATTTTTCTTCAAGATTTCATCTAATATGAAGGTTGAAAATTAGGTTGCTTAATATTCACTAATTGGATAAGAGAATTATCTGGAAATAATTTTCACTTATACATTCTTGAATTAATAAATTTGATGTTGACCTAGCATAAGGTAGTTCTCTGCTTGCTTCTCCTGCCCTGAAATGAAACACAAGCTCCAAAAGTAGGAGGGAGACAAGCAGGAAAAAAGTGATGCTTCCTCTACAGAGGGCCTTGTTGGGTTTTCAAATGAGAAATATCACTGTTTGCGCTGTTAATGGAGAAATTCCATGATTTATTTCTCTCCACAAGCTTAGTCATTGGAATTTTACTATTTTTAAGTGTTCTTATATGTTAAAGACTTTAAAAACCCTCATTGCTTACCCAGTGTGTGCCGAGCACTTACAAGGGGTTGTGTATTTTCTCATTTAAGTTAATTCTGACAACCTTGTGAGGCAGGTATTATCATCATCCACATTTTACAAATAAGAGCCTTGGAAGTTTACACGATTTGCTGGGGGCCTTGGACATGGTCAGCAGTGAACTGACAGTAGGTTTGTACTGCTCGTTGAGCAGATGAATGCAATGTAAAGGGGACATCTGAGACTTCTGACCCTGAAGCCAAGGTCCAGCAAACCATTCCATTCACGTCAGGATTATGCATCCATAGGTGTAACACCTGAACCAGGTGAGCAGGACAGAGCCCTCCCTTTGAGTAGGACACTATGCGGGCACTGAGTCTCCCTTGGAAAGGGAACAGAGAAGGGTGCTTAATTAAGCACAATGCCCCTCGTTTAGAGGGCAGCTCCACTGCTGTCCATTCTGTTGGGTGCTCCAGGCTGCTGAAAGCAGCAAGACCAAATGAAAGGTCTTTGCCCTGACACCCACTTCCAGGGACAAGGAGCTGCCATTTAGAGTCTAATCACCCCCCAGGTTTCATGCCCAGCTCCCTGCCCTCTGCAAGCAGCTCTTAGTTAATGCACAAGGGTTTGGAACCAATTAACTGGACACAGGAAACCCCAATAACCCATCACTGTCCACAACAGTAAGAACTCTAAATGGGCACCTCAAAAAACACGAAAAGTTGTGGGAACACGAGCATACTGTGTAATTAAACACAAATATGTCCTACCCGTTCCTTTTTAGTTATTAAAGTAACGGGAGTTCAAATCAATATTAAAACACGCATAAAATGGATCTTCCCTGCTAATACCACCCCCCTCAGGTAACTACAGTTCAGTTAACCATCCTCTACTTCCTACAAGCATACACACACGGGTTTATTTATTTAAACTTCGGATATTATAGAAATCAATGTGCACGTTGCTTTTTTTTGAACAGTGTATTATCCCTCCAGGCCCATACCTATATCTCTGACATTCTAATCGTTGCATTACGTGCAGATGTATGGCTGGCCTATGATTTATTCAACCTCGTCCCTATCGGTGGACATTCATGTTTCAATAAACATAATCACGTTTCTATAAATTATTTTGGACCACATAATCACGTTTCTATAAATTATTTTGGACCACTGGAGTGGCTTCAGTGGAGGTGGATTAAGGAAGCTGCAACCAGCGTTGCGCATATAGGCCCGGTTTCGCTAGGCCTTGGGAAGACGGCACCAGCGGGAGCGGACTTGTCACAAGCGGTACGAGTAGCCCGAGAAGCTAAGGCTGGCCGGCTTTGCGGGAGGGGCCGAGCGAGCGCGGCGCGAGCGAAGGAATGCGCGAGGCCCAACTCCGCGCCGCCTTCCACCTCCGGACCTAAGAGGGCGCGCTCGGGCCGCCGCCGCCGCGGCTTTCCCCGGCGCCCCGCCCACCGGGCTCGCCCCGCTCCCCGATTGGCTGCGCGGCGGGAGCGCGCCGAGTCAGGGGGCGGGCCCGCGCCGGCTACAAAGCGACGAAGGTCACGGCGCGAGGAGGCGCGCGCCGCCGCCCCGCGTCCGGCATTCGGCCCTCCGCTCCGCCGCCGACCGCAGCCTGCGCGTGGAGCCATGGAGGGGGTGAGCGCGCTGCTGGCCCGGTGCCCCACGGCGGGCCTGGCCGGCGGCCTGGGAGTCACGGCTTGCGCCGCGGCTGGCGTGCTGCTCTACCGGATCGCGCGGAGGTGAGTGCGCGCGGCCCACGCGGCCTCGGCCCTAGCCCCCGCTGCCTGCCGGCCGCCCTCCACCCTGCGGCCTTCCCGCCTTGGCGGGCTCCGGGGCCGCACGGCACCTCCCGCCCGTGCCTGGCGAGGCCGCGGCGTCGCCGTGGGGGCCAGGCCTGTGTACCCACGTGCTAAGTAAGACCCGCTCTGCGCGCAGTCTCCTCCCCCCCTCCCCCCGCCAAAAAAAAAAAAAAGGAGACTGGGTTGGGAATCCTTATCTGGAAGCGGCTGAGGGGCGGGTTGAGGACTCCGGGAACGCGTGGTGGGCGCGGGCAGCCAGCACGTGGGTTACAAACTTCCCCTCGTCACGGAGACCTGTGCTGGCCGAGCCACAGGGTCTGCAGGGCCCCTCCACACCCACCCGGGCCCACCAAACCCTGCGTGAGAATCGAGCGGGGATCACACTGTGCTCTAACTGCTCTCCGCCCGTAGCCCCTCTCCCTGGAGCACTTTGGGGTGGCTTGATAATAGGTGGCACTTTCTGGTCTGCATACATACGCTGTCTCAGGAGTTGTTCTAATCTCACATTAGCCCATTTCAGAGTCACAACCCCTGCTCCCCTTAGAGAAGCTGAGAGACAGAAGAACTAAGTAAACTTATTAATTATAAGAGTGCGTGTGCTCTGAAGCAGCCTGGCCCTGGAGCCTGCATTCCCAGCCTCTGGGGCTGTACTGCCTCCAAGAGTGGGAAACATGCTTCAGAGGTGTTTAAAATGGGCTGGGCTGCTGCTGAGCTGGTTCAGGGCTGCCACGAGCCCTGGCCCAGGCTCAGAAATCATGCCCACGCCCATTCAGAGCTGGCCTGTTGCATGGACCTCCGTAGTCAGGGATGAAAGCTTTTAATGGTCTCCTGCTTCAGCAGGAATCGGGCAGCCCAACCTTTTCCCCATCTGATCCACCTTCCCAGGGGACTGGGGGAAAAAAGGTGGGGTTGTGGAAACATTTGGGGGACACAGTGGTAGGATTGTAGCTTCAGCAAGGGATGTGAAGCTCAGATTTGGGGCAGAGAGGTGAAGGCATTTGCCCACAGTCGCTTGGCAGCAGGTGGCGGAGCTGGGATTTGAACCTGGGTGGTCCTGCTGGTCTTCCTTACCCCCTGCCATGGACTGCTTGTCACTGAAGGGGGAACGAAGTGCGTGTGACTGAGTCACAGGCTTCCTGGAGGAGGAAGGGGTAGGAGGGACATCAGCTGTGTCTACAGGATGAGCCAAACTGGCAGGCTGATGAGGGGGCGGCCTCCAGGGGAGGGCAGTCTGGGATTGAGGGAGCCCCCAACTCACAGGGTCCCTGAGAACCCACATCTCTGCGTGTCCCAGTTCCTGCCCAATTTTTGGAAGCTGGAGGGGCTTATAGGACCAGCTGGTTCAAACCAGTCATTTTATACCTAAGGTGCTGAGGTGCAAGGTGATTTGCTCAGCTTCCCAGAGCATATTGACAGCAGAGGTGGGTCCGGAGGCAGGTCTGCTGCTGCTGCTGCCTCCCCGTTAACCTGGGATGAGGGAATGTGCCCCAAGGATCAGAGCCTGGACACTGTTCCCCAACTTTGCAACACCTCGTGTGTGTGGTGTGGCTGGATTCGGACTGGGTTTGCTCACTGGGTCTCGCGCTCTGGCGTCTTGTGCTGTGGCTGTTCTCAGGGGTCCTGACTTCCCTCCTGGGCTGCCAGCCACAGCTTTCCCTCTCCCGGAGACAGACATCTGCGGCCCTGGTGCAGTGTTGGGCGAGCTGGTAGGAGGGGAGCCCGGAGAGTACCTGGAAGGCTTTTCGCTCCAGTGGCACAACACCAGAGCCGTGTGTGGCTGGCGTTGGGACCTGTTGGTTGGGCTGAGAAGGGCCAGCCCTTCCCGGGATGCTCTGAGATACTCCCAGCACTGGCTTTTGTCTGGGGGTCATAAATTGGCCAGGGTCCCAATTCGGAAGCAAGACCAACTGCAGAGACTGAGCCCTTCTCCCTCTAGGAGGGGAACGCTGTGGCCGCGAGCACTGGTGGCTTTGGCCGCAGCACGGGTTGTGAATGACCCTCGAGAGGGCAGGTGAGGAGAGTTGTTTTGGGAAAGCGACTTGGCCTGGTGGGTGTTTGTGGGCCCAGCACAGAGATGGAGGGAAGAGTGGCCGAGGAGCCACAGGCAGAGGGCCCCTCCCTGAAGGGCTGCCGTGTTCCCAGAGCTTCAGGCAGGGCCAACCTGGCTTCCCCCACTGTGGGGTCCTCCCGACCGGATTATTGTTGATGATTCAGTGCTGATGACACGGGGAAGGACCACATGTTGCCACCTGGTGAACCCTGGGGAGCAGGTGCTACTCTTCTCCCCATGCTGCAGCTGAGGAAGCGAAGGCTTGGAAGGTTGGGCTTCCTGCCCTAAGCAAGCCTCGTGCTCTGGGTCCTCACTGAGCGCCCTGGCGCTCCGCCACACACACGGGAGCCCACGCTGTCAGCGCTGTCCCAGGGTGGAAGCCCAGAGTACACTTCCAGGCTTGCTTGCCCTGGATCCAGGCGGTCGTGGTGGCCCCTGTGCCCGTCCCACCCCCGGGCTCTGCTGCTCTGCGTTGTGTCCAGAATCCATCTTCTGCCGCCACACCCCTGCTCAGGACCTCAGGGACCTCCCAAGGCACCCAGAGGTGTTAATTGGATTGTCCACTTTGTCGTGTTGGGAGCCAAGAGGATGCAGCCTCCAGGTTAAGTGGCGGGGCCTCGTCCTGGCACCCAGAGTCCCTGTTTCCTGCTCACCCCTTGCCATGCTTTCCTGGTGCTGCACTCTGGCGGAGGAACGCTACTCCCTGGATGCACCCTGGATGGTCCCCCCTTTGCCCAGCAGCCCTTCCTGTTCACCATCTGCTGCTTTTGCCCTGCTGGTCAGTAAACCCGTTCTTTAGGGTGACAGCAGATGCTCTGCTTGTTGGCATCTCTCTTGTGGCATCTGTCACCAGCTGCCCTTTGAAGTCGTCGTTCTTGTCCTTGTGTCCAGGTTGGAAGTGGAGAGTTTGCTCATTTCTGCCTTTGCAAGCCTAGCTCAGTAAACACGGGTTGCACTGAGGTGAACAGGGGTGGCCCCCGCTTCAGGCCAGGTCTGCCCCCGGAGAGGTGGGTGTGGGGGCCTTCTTGTTGTGGCAGGACTTCTGTGGACGTACTTGTGTTCAGCCTGGAGGCCCATTGGATCCTGGCTGGCATTTTGGTGTCGCTGTTGCTGCAGCCCAGGAGGCACCTTCTCGGATTCTCCCAGTTGGGTAGGACGACATGTGTTGCCCACTAGAGGAGCAGGTGAGGAGCCACGTAGGGGTCCAGCAAGGACCCCCTCGCCGTGAGGCTGTACTGGGGGTCCCCCTGGGGCCCTGCCAGAGGCTGACTCCTTGGCCCCTAAAGGAACCAAGTCTGACTCAGAGACCATGTTCCAGAGCCCACTGGGCCAGAGCACGGTGCCCAGGGTCGCAAGCTATGTACCAGGCCCCTTTCGGAGGAGTCTGGGCACTTCTCAGGCCTGGTAGAAACTAATTGACATACCAGCCTCACCCAGACTCTGAGCCCCCCAGACAGGAACTGAGCTCCATCCAGTGGCTCCTCCTGGTGGCACAGCACTGGGCTCACAGCAGGTGCCCAACCTCCAGCAGGGTCCTGGGCCAAGGACCTGGAGTGCAGCCGTCAGAGTGGTGGCCTCACTCCTAGAAAACACACACACACACCCCATCTGTAGGAAATGGCGGGATGTCAGGGCACGAGCTATGCTGTAACTAAACATCCATGTTCGGGGCTGATGGGGTGATCTCTTATTAAGGGCACGTGTTCATCTTCTTGGCCTCAGTGTGCGTTCAGGACTTGTGGAGGGCCGGGTCCTGAGCGTGCTGCTGCCTGTGGCCCCAGCACAGGAGGCCTGAGACAGTGAGGATAACCGGGGCTGGGTGAGCACCTGCTGGGCCAGAGCTGCCTCCTGAGGCGCCCTCCCCCGTCTGACTCTCTATTGCCTGTGCTACCAGGACATTCTGTCTTGTCACATCAGACCTTGTCTACCACTAAGAGTGGTTTGTCCCGGAGACTTGCTGGGGCAGGGGTTTTGGCTTGGAGGAGAAGTGGCTTATGAGGGGGAATGGCATTTCCCTGAGCAAAATCAGAGCCTTGACTAAGCTGGCTCAAACGTCCCTGTCAGGCCAGGTGGAGGTGGGTGCAGGCCCAGAGGCCAGGGCCACAGGGCCAGCCGTGGAAATTGGACAAGTTGTGAAATCCGCCATGGAGTGCAGCCCCCAGACACGTTTCACATTCACCCACGTGTCTAACGCATGAGAGGCCCAGCACTGGTGCGTGGGGGGCTGAGGTTCGCCTCCAGCCCCCATCGCTTTGCTTGCCCATCTGGCTCACGGGCCTGCTGGCCCTTGCAGGGCTTGCCCTGAAGGTGCTGTGGCAAATGACTACCTGACCTGGGGATCCCTGTCTGGCCAAGGTGGGTGACAGCTGCTCTGGCCACAAGAGAAGACTCTCCCAACCCTGAGCAGGGATTACCAAGGGCTGAGAGTGACAGGAGCTAGAGCCACAGGCCCCAGGGACCAGGGCTAATCCCCCTCTTCCTGCCACTGGCTTCTAGGCCAAGCGGATTTCCCTAGCAACAGAGCAGGAGCTTCAGAGTGGAAATGATGGCTTCCTGGGGCGGGAGGGGCTGCGTGGCTGACTCTCTGGACCGAAACCGCAGTTCCTACCTGCCTGCTATTGGTCCCTGGGGCCTGTCTTTGTCCCTTCCCTATCTCTCTCTTCATTCATGGGCTGCCAGCTCTTCTGCTTGGCTTCTGTCCAGAGGCTGGGTGTGGCGTGGTGGGGGTTCTGGGGTGAAAGGGCTGAGGGGTCCTTCGTGAGGCTGGAGGGGCCCAGGGGGCAGAGGAGAGAGGTCACCAGCCTGCATCCTCACCCACTGAGACACACCCGTGCACACTGACAAAGACGCCTGTAAGGCAGGTACAAATTAACAAAGCGAACCCAGTGCTTCATTGTCCGGGGATGCCAAGTGCTGGCATCTCAGCCAGCTGTGTCCACACCTCCAGCCATGGCTGGGCTGCCTCCTTGCACTCTGCATGAAGCCCAGTGAAGCTGTGGGTGCTGAGCCATGGCCACCTGCCGGGCTCAGCGCTTTCCTGATTCTCCCTTTGATCCTCTCAGCAGCCTCTCTTCGGGGCAGGGATTGTCATTACCCCCACTGGCCAGATGAGCACGTGACCTGGAGGTTCCGGGAGGCAGAATGACGTTCCCCAAAGGCCACCCCAGTGATCCAGGTGGTGCACTGCCTGGTGCTGCTCTTCCCAGGCCCTGCCCTCTGCTCTGGCTCCGTGCTTTTGACAAAACGTGAAGGTCCCTTGTCCATTTGGGACTTTGGCCTGAGCCAGGACAGGTGGTTTGGGGCTGCAGCTGCAGGGGGCAATCCAGGGTGCCCTCGGTGGACCCTGGGCCCTTCGCTACAGGGCCTGGTTCCATCCCCTCTGTCCATCACCTCTGGCTTGGGGAAAAGTGGGTTGAGGAGCTTATGCGGGGTGACATTTCCCTGAGCCGCTGCCTCCACCCTGCCCACGTAACTACCATTTATTGTGCTTTGAGGCCGGGCACTGTTAAGCACTTCCCATACACTCCCCTGAGGGAAGTTCTTGTCCCCAGTTGACGGGTGATAGGACTGAGGCTTGAAGAACTCTTGTAAGTTCTGCCACTGTCGGGAGGGGCAAGGCCAGGAGGCAGCTGCAATGTCTGGAGTGGGAACTCTGCTTTCAAGGGACAGGGTGGTGACAGAGCTGGCCCTTCACATTGCAAAGCACCTGTATGTGTCTTACGTCGTTGGATCCTTGTAACACGTGTGATGCCATGGGTGCTGTGATCGCTCACACTTTACAGACTCGGGCTGAGGCTGGGAGAGTAGGAGCTCCCTGGGGCTCACATCTAGAAGTTGGCAGAGCTGGGAACTCCAGCTCCTGGAAGGTGGGGGTTGTACTGCCCTGTGGGCATCAGTGTCATCGGTGTGGTGTGGCTGCCCACTGCAGCAGGATCCAGGCAACACCCCCAGAGCGGGGGCCGGCCTCGGGGGGAGGGCAAGGGGACAGGAGTGTCAATGCCAGGACCTCCGGTGCTCAAGCAGCTGCCGCCTGTCATCCACATTGTCTAGATTCCTAGGACTGGGGCAGGGTTAGGGAGGCTGCTGGGCAGTTGTCACATCCTACAGCCAATGAAGTGGATGAAGGGGCCCAGAGCACAGATCCCCTAGTGTCTGGGCTGGGATTATCCCATAGACCTCACCTGTCACCACACGTGTGGCCTGCCTGCTCTGTCCCCTCCTCCAGGGAGGGTTGGTCCCAGGCTGAGCAGCTGTCTCTAGTCCCCGCCCCTCTGCCTCCTTGGCCCTCACTCCTGGGACTTGTTTCCTGTGAAGCACAGGAGGCTCCTTGCATCTGGAAGCTCCCAGGGAGCACCGTTTCCGCAGCCTGGGAACAGGCCTTGTGGGGGGAGAGGGTGGTCCCAGAGCCTGGTCACTGTCGGCCTTATGGCCTGACCAGCCTGGGCCCCCAGTGTCCCTATGCCTGAGCCCCAGGACACCCGGGGCATGTGGCCCTGGGTCCCCTCATGCGCGTGCTGGAGCCAAGGAATCTGGTGAGTCTCCAGCTGCCCTCCACCCCGGGGTTTGGGGGCTTTGCCTGAGGGGCTGGGAAGCCTGAGTCAGTGTGGCCTCCTTGCTGGTCCTCCTGGTGGAAACTAAACATCCGGTCGAGGCCTCACCTGCCTTGTCCTTCTTGGTCTCCCACCGAGCAGGGGACAATCTTCCGGCTGACTCTCCTCTCCTTGTCCACAGGACGAAGCCGACGCACACCGTGGTCAACTGCTGGTTCTGCAATCAGGACACAGTGGTGCCCTACGGGAACCGCAACTGCTGGGACTGTCCCCACTGCGAGCAGTACAACGGCTTCCAGGAGGTGCGGCAAGGCTCGGACCGAGAGGCCACACCCTGTCCCTTTCCTGTCCCCATCCCTCACCACAGCCCTGCGTCCTTCCTCTGAGGATGAGGAAACAGGCCCCAAGAGCCAAGGAGACTTGTCTAGAGTGACACCACTAAAACTGGCAGATTGGGGTTCAAACCCAGATCTTTCTGGCTCACGCCCGCTCTCTACTCTGCACTAGACCAGGGGTCGGCAGGCTTTCTGGAGAGGGCCAGGGAGTATTTTAGGCTTTGTAGACCATACCGTCTCTGCCAAGCCACATACACAATGTATAAATGAGGGTGCGTGGCTGTGGCCCAAGAAAACTTTATTCACAAACAAGTGGGCAGCCCACGGGGCCTAGTTTGCAGCCCCTGCACCAGACGGTGGTTCCAACCTGAGCTCCGGGCTGGGGCCTGGCTCTCAGCATCTTGCCTGTTCGGGGTTCCTTGTGAAGCTTCTTTGGAAGAAAAGTTTCTTCTGTTTGTTGCATGTAAAAGAAGAAAGACAGGGGGTGCTTGAGCTCTGCCACCACTTCCTGGCACATCGCCTTCGGGGCTTCCGTCTGACACCAAGCCTGAGCCGCTGGGGAAGCTCTCGCCTGTTGAGTCGGGGCTCCCCTGCTGACTCGTGTCCCCTCCTCCCCCAGAATGGCGACTACAACAAGCCAATTCCCGCCCAGTACATGGAGCACCTGAACCACGTGGTGAGCGGCGCGCCCAGCCCCTGTGTCGCCACACAGCCCCAGCAGTGGGTGAGCAGCCAGGTGCTGCTGTGTCGGAGGTGCAGCCACCACCAGACCACCAAGATCAAGCAGCTGGCCGCCTTCGCGCCACGCGACGAGGTGAGGCCGGGACGGGAGGAGATGAGGGGGCTGAGGTGCCCCAGAGCAGTCTGAGGGAGGCCCGTGTGGGGCTCTCCTGAGTGCCCGCAGGGCCCCCTCCTCACCCTGGCCCCGTGCTGGCCCCACGTTCCAGGTGTTAACCGTCTGTCCCCGTTGGAGCATGCTCGTCGCTCTCCCTCTGTCTCATGGTCTCTGCTCTTGGCTGCGAGCCTGGGAACCTCGTGGAAATTCCAGTGCCTGCCGTCCAGGAGGGTTTGTCCCTGGACAGGCGAAGTATTTCCAGCTGGGGCCCTGTAAGACCCATCCTGTCCGTGTCCCTGAATCAGGCTGGCTGGGCAGTTTGCTCTGGAGTTGGTGGCGGAAGCTCCTAGCTTCTGGAGAGGAAGGAAGATGGACGCTGCTGAGAGGCTGGGTGTTAGGAGTTCACCTCCCCTGGGCCTGCCGTGGAGCCCAGCAGCCTTGTCAGCTTGCTAATCCTGACCTCAGGAGCCGAGGCCCAGAGACACGGGCTTTCCCAAGGCCCGGCCTGGGGGAGAGGGGACCGAGGGCTGGGCATGAAGAGGTGGGGAATCTGCAGAAAGAAAGGAAGGCATGTGACTTTGCACCAGGGAGGCTTTTCTGGCACCTTTGGTCCCAGCAGATCAGACTGATAGCCCTCCCAGCCACTGCAGACTGAGATGTTTGGCTGCCCTGGAAACCGGCAGAGGAGCGTTCCTGCATCGTTGGGAGGAGGGTAGGGGTGGGACTCACGGCTTCCGGGCTATTCCTGAAGCCCCAAGGACCCTGCAGCTCCCACTGAGGCCCTGGCTCTCACTAGTTTACGGGAAGGGTGGCCCTGCCTCTGGGTTGTCCCATCTGCCCGAGTCCAGGTAGTGTCAGCCCAGAGCCACCTTCCCCCGTGGCTCACCACCTTCCTAAAGCTCGAGGCCATGAGCAGGGCCTGAAGTGGGGACCACATTTCGAGCACCTGGCCTCCAGGGGCATCCCCTGAAGCCACAGAACTTGGCTAGAGTGTCACCCATCACCTGCAGGCCCTTCCTGTGTCCCGGGCTCTGGACCAGCCCTTCCTCCCAGCAGCCCACATCGCTGTGCTCAGTTGTGCTGTTGGACAGCGGAGGAAACAGGACCAGAGTGGGGATGACTTGGCATGGTCACCCCATGTGTCAGTCAGTGGACCCGGGTTCCACCCACCGGACGGGCAGCCTCGGTAGACCCCAGGGCTCAGCTCTTGTCCTTTCCCACAGGCCAGGTACGACGAGGAGATCGAGGTGTACCGGCACCACCTGGAGCAGATGTACAAGCTGTGCCGGCCGTGCCAGGCAGCCGTCGAGCACTATATCAAGCACCAGAACCGCCAGCTGCGCGCCCTGCTGCTCAGCCACCAGTTCAAGCGCCGGGAGGCGGACCAGAGCCATACACAGGTCTGCGCAGGGTGCCCACAGGGCATTGGGGGCATTGCGGCCCTCGGGCTTGTGCGGGAAAGCCCTTCACAGAGGCTGGGCCCCAGGGACTGGGGGCAGCTCTCCAGGGAAACAACTTTCCCGTGGGTCCATACCGCCCCCCACCCCCCTCCTCCCTAGGCCCCATCGTGTCACAGGCCAGAGCGGGTGTCCTGAGAAGAGGGGCTCAGTATTAGGCCACACTTGTATTTGCATCCTTGACAGGGGTTTTGAGTTGCCGACACATGGTCTTTGTTCCTCACAGCACCCTTTGTGGCGGGCACGCTCGTGGGCTCTGTGACCCCATTTACATCTGTGGGTCCCAAACAGGGAGGCTCAGTGACGCACAGAGGGCCAGGCATCTGATGTGCAGAAGCCGCAGGATTTGAACCCAGGACCGTCTGGCTAAAACTCATTGACTTTTATCACAGTATTCAGTTAATGGACTATTCTGGCTTTAAAAATCTGATACAATAGCAAATGGATTTAGAAGTAAAAAAAAAAGTCTGTTCCTCCTCCCCCAAAGAAATTCCTCCCCCAGCCCCTCGGGTCCCCAGATGTGCTGTGTCCAGTGGTTTGAGGTATGGCTGGGCCCGTGACCACACAGCCCACCACCAGCCCACCTGCCTGTATTTGTACAGCAGGACACGCGGACATTTGGTTTTCCTCCACACCACTGTGCTTCTAGACTAAACGTATTGCTGTATTTATTTAACTTTAGCCAGTTATCTACAGAGGGTGCCCAAAAATTGTATGCACATGACTTGTATTCATCTTTTGTTATCGGTATATATTATTACAATTTTAATACAGTTTTTTCCTTTCTTAAAATGTGGATACATTTTTTTGGCCCGTCTGTATGTATTTATTTTAATTCCAGCTAAAATCACAGGAGGACTTTTTGGTGGGAATTTGACAAAATGATTGAAAAAGCTATTTGAAAGAATGGGGTCCCCATAATATCAAAAATATTTCTTTAAAGAATGTGCTAGATCCTCCCACACACAGTGACTTTCACAGTTGGGGTGAAGGCCCAGAAATGGGACAGGTCCATGGAACTCCATGGTAAGCTGGGGACAGCCAAAAATGGTGGAGACTTTAGGGCACAGGAAAGACAGCATCTCTGACCATCAGGAGCTGGCTGGGTTCTTCAGCGAGTGCCATGGGACCCTGGCCAGACCCCAGGAATGGGCCCCGGGAATGGCTGTCGGTGGCTCTGGCTGTCCATTGACCGAGTCTCTCCCTCCCTTAGAGCATCTGCTCCTCCGCGATGAAGGCCCCGGTCCAGGTCATCGTGCTGCGCGCCCTCACCTTCCTGCTCTGTGCCTTCCTGCTGGCCACCGCACTGTATGGCACGAGTGACCCCTTTGCCCCTGGGGTCACCCTGCCCCCAGCTTTGCCACCTGGCGGCAATGGCTCGGCCACTCCGGACAACAGCACTGCCCCTGGGGCTGAGGGCTGGCGGCAGCTGCTGGGCCTGCTGCCCGAACACATGACAGAGAAGCTGCGTGCGACCTGGGCCTTCGGGCAGAGCCACCAGACGGGCGTCGTAGCTCTGGGCCTGCTCACCTGCCTGTTGGCCATGCTGCTAGCTGGCCGTATCAGGTGCGTGTGGGGCCTGGCAGGGCGGGGGTCTGCCCCTGAGTTGCTGTGACTGCTGCCTCGGGGCAGGGCTCAGTGGGAGGAAAGCGCTGGGGCTGGAGCCCTGGGACAGGCCGCACCGTGTAGCTGAGACAAGATGCGCCCTCTTCCTATGCAGCTGGGAGTCCGGTGGGCGAGACGAAGCACATGACTTGCCTTAGAGGGGGCAGGCCCACCACTTACTGCTGCATGCTGGGGCCACCAGGGCCAAATCTCCTGGCTTCTCCACCTCAGACACTTCGTCTGCAAAGTCTGGGTGATAACCTCCCACCTCGCGGGCTGTGGGAAAGTCAAGCAGGGTGCTCTTGGGCCCTTGCTTTCCCTCCTGGTGCAGTTGCAACCTCTATCTGTACCAAATGGTGCCCACTTCATCTCAATGACTGGGGGAGGTTCCTTAGCCCCATTTCACAGGCTAGAACACTGAGGCTCAGAGTCGTGCAGCGTGTCAGTCAGTGTTGGAGGCGGGATTGAGAGGCCCGCACGCTCCTCTTGGCCCTGGGTTCTGTCCTCTTAGCAGAGCCCGGGTGGATGAAGGAGACAGGAGGTGGCAGGACATGAGGCCCTCACTCCACCCCCAACTTTCCTGCAGGCTCCGGAGGATTGACGCCTTCTCCACCTGCTTGTGGGCCGTGCTGCTGGGGCTGCACCTGGCCGAGCAGTACCTGCAGGCTGCCTCACCCAACTGGCTGGACACACTCAAATTCAGCACCATGTCCCTGTGCTGCCTGGTGGGCTTCACGGCAGCCGTGGCCACGAGGAAGACGACGGGCCCACGGAGGTTCCGGCCCCGAAGGTCAGAGAAGCAGCAGTGATTGCGGGGGGAGGACAGACGGACGGACAGACCCAGAGCTTTGCCCCCAGCCCGGAGCAGGGCACCTCTTCTTGCATCTTTCTTAACCTGCCTTACTCTCGCCCCTGCCCAGCCCCCGGTCCTGGCCCAGCCCCTCCGCTTCCCTGAGGAGCCCAGCCTGCCTCCCCTTTTCCTTCCCAGCACCAATGAGCCGACCCCCTAACCTAAGGCACTCCCTGAGTGCCCTCTAGCTGCTCACCACTGCCACCACCTCTCTGGCCAAAGACTCCCTTCATTGCCCCAAGGCCAGAACACAGGTGTCACACACATGCAGCCTGTCTGTGACCCATGGTTTTCTGCTGGTACCTCTGGCACCCCCGTCCTGGCCACAGCCCTTCTCCTGGCTCTGACACCAGTGCGGGTTGTAGGCCTGCTCTCTGCTTCTCTCACCTTGCGCCGTCTCTGGGCCCCTGACACAGACGCTGGTGACAGTGGCTGCAGGCTGGGCCTTGTCGCATGGCCTGACCACCTGGCTAGCTCGATACGGGCAAGGGCTGCTGAGCGGAGGCCAGAGGAGAGCCCCCCCACCTCGTCCCCACACAGTTTCTCCGGTCTGTCCCTTTGGTCCTGCCCGTTGCCTGGCCAGCCCTGCTGGGAGCCGGTGGGACCAGCAGGAAGCTGAGCTGCCCCCCCCCCCGCCCCCCGGGTCCACTGCTCATTTCCTGCTCCGAGACCTTCCTCAGACTCCGTTAGCCCTCAGCCTCCTTCCCTGGGAATGGAGGGTGCAGTTCCTAGCCTTGACAGTGAGTTTGTGGGGCGAGGCCCTTCTCAGGATGGACAGTAGAAAACCCTGCTTCTCCGAGTATTGTCAGCACGTTGCTGCTCAGCAGCCAGGCTGTGGTGATGGGAATCTTTCCTTTATTCATCTAATTTTTTGGCACTGCTGTGGGCCAGATGGACAGAACTAGGGCACGCACGCCCTGCCCACTCTCCTGGAAGCCCCTAGCTCTGCCCTGGAAAGGCAGGGCTCTCCACTTGCCCCTGTAGGGACTGGGATTCAGCTGCCCTAACTAGGTGGCAGTTCAGGGCCTGAATGGCTTTCACTGACCCTGCAGACCCCACCCCCCCAGTGCCTGGGATATCCCCACTTTCCTCCGTTCCCCCCCCCACCCCCATATGATGCTTGGGAAAAGATCTAAGTGTCCAAGATTGGCATGCAGTAAGTGGCCCAAGGGACATGTAGGCCCATGATGATACCAGGCCATTTGTCACCTTGTCACTCTCTGGCCTGTCAGTGTCACCCCTCTTCTGGCCCACAAAGCCCCTCATGGAGGGTGCTGAGGCACCTGCTTTCCAGCCTTCTCTGGGGAGGAAGTGCCAACCCAGAGTCGCATGAGGGGCTGCCTCCTCCTGGAATCACCGCCCCCGGGGCAGGGGCGGGGGTGTGGCACAGACCCGTTACTCACTAGCCATGTGGTCCTGCAAGTCTCTGCTAGCACCAGCCTCAGTTTACCATCTGGAATGAGAGAGCAACCCCTTTCCAGGACCTTTGAGTGGACACGCTCTGGAAACAGGTGCTGTCCACATACAGAGGAAGTTCTTGACCTAGGGGCTCTCTCCAAGGGTCACCACAGGAGGGTGGACCAAGGTAGTTCCCTACCTGGCGTTTTGTTTTGTATCCTGATGACCCCAGAGCAGGCTATACACTCCCACCAGGGCCCGTGTCCTGCTGCTCGTCACTAAAAATAAGCCTCCCTCCAGATGTGGCCCCGGGTGTGCCGGCTCCTCCACTCTGCGCGTCGGAGTCCAGGGAAGGCAAAACAGCACATGCGTGAGGGCCGCACTCAGCAAGGGGCCACCAACTAACGGCCTGAAAGGCGGGTGGGAGAGGGCCCTGGCCAGGCCCCAAGGAAGTCCCTGGAGAACATGACCCCCACCATCCCTAGTCCTCACGTTCACGGGGTCCCCATTGCCCGAGTGAGCCCGTGCCCTGGGGTGGGTGGGTCAGGAGCCGCCCTGAGGAGCTGTGTGGCCTCAGACAAGGCCCTGCCTGGCGGGGCTCAGCTTGCTCTGTGTGGAGGGTGACGTGGAAACCCACTGACAAGGGGGGAGGAGGAGTGGGGGGGGCAGCCAGGATCTAGTCCTGCTGGCCTGTCTGCCTGGCCCTTCGCCCCAGTCAGCTTGCCGAGGGGGGAGGCGGCGGCACCCTCAGGTGGTGAGCCATTGCTGTGTCGCTGCGCGTGCCCTGTATCGGAGTCTCCTGTTCTCAAGGAGACTAAGGGCGTGATGCTAATTACTGCTTTTCTTGGCGTTGAGTACAAGCAGGACGTCTGTGTGTATGTGTGTGTTTAAGTTAAATTATTTATAATAACTGTGAGCAGCTGTCTTGCTGGCCAGGAGCCCCTGCTGAGCAGACGCCTTGCCTGCCCTCTAGTGGGGATGGGAAGACACCCTCATGAATGAACCTCAGAGGAAGGCTTCCTGGCCTTTTTAGAGTTTTGTGTGACCTTTTTAAATTAGCCATGTGTCCCTTAAAGTTCCATTGCTTTGAGCATATTCAAGCACCTTCTGACATTACTGGCAAGTGATTGGAGCAAGCAGGCCAAAGGCCCCAGTGTGCCAAGGAAGTGTAGGTGCCACTGGGATCGTAGCTTATTAACTGGGAATGTGTCACCCCTGCCAAGTACCTTTCACCCCTCCACTGGGGACAACCCGTCAGACCATCCAGGGTCAGGGTAACTGTCCCCGAGACGTGAGGTAGGTCCACATGGCTGTCTTCTCCCTCCGGACTGGGGTCCCCACCGGGCCGAGCTGGCTCCTCCAGTAACACTTGCCCAGGAGCAAACCACCTCAACGCACCTGCCCCAGGAGGAGCCTGTGTCCCCTCTGTCTGTGACTGTTGACAAGTGTCTCGTCATCTCTCTGGTTGTGTAGTAGAACTGTGGATGATTGTCTAGTGACGCTGTATTCACTGTAACCACAACTCCTGGCCATAGACATTGTGTGTTCGATGCTGTATTTTAAATAAATGCCTCCGGGGCCCTACTTTTACCCGTGGGCGTCAGGTACCACGTCTTTTTTGTTTTTTCTTTCACATTCCTTCAGAGGCTTCTGTGCCAGGGGTGGGAACTCTGGGCTACAGGCGTGGCCACAGGAGTCGGGTTTGGGAGCTGGTGACTGGGCGTTGAACGTCTTAGGGCCCAGCTGTCCTCGCATGCCCTGTTGGTATTTTTCCCCGTCCCAATAAACTGCTACTTAAAACGTCCTTGCTCCTTCTGCTCCTGGCCTGGACTGGGGTCGGGTTGAAAAAGAACAACTGTCCCTCGCAGTGTCAGGTGGGACACTGAACAACCACCCAACTCCTCCTCAGACCCCTTTATCCAGTGGACTTGAATTCTGGGCCGAGTGCCTATTGAAGATGGGGTTCAAGGGTGCAGGGAAGTCTGGGGGCCTCGCCACAGGAAGCGTCGGTACAGTTGAAGCTCTCCAGAGCCAGCGGAGATTGGGCTCCCTTAACAGGAGGCTCTTGGGGGGACTGTCTTCTGCAGTCATGACAAGAGCTCACACTTGGCCCTTTACAAGGATCATCTAGTTGAGTGATGTCACTGGGTGTCAAAGCAAGAGGGGTCAGACCAAAGAACTGTCTTCCCCTTAGTGCCAACATTTTCAGTGGCATCAGATTGGGAACTGCACTGTGACAGGCAGATGGGAGACAGGATTTTAGCACTGGGGCGGCCTCAGGTGTGAGGAGGATCTGGGGAAAGCGGGAAGGGCTGCGAGACCCAGCGTGCCTGGGCCGCTGGCCGCCTCTGAAACGCGCAGCCCAGCCCAGCCCCGCTCTCTCCGCTCTCGCTGCTTACCAGTGGGTGGCCCTCGGGCGGGCTGTCCAGTTGGGGTGGGCACAGCAAGCCCCGCGTAGAGTCCTGCTGCCATCTGCTGGAAGGGACTGGTGTCCTGCTCATCAGGCCGCTCCCCCACAGGACAGACCTGGGTCATCTAGGAGGTGCGGGCCCTAGCAGGGGACAGCCTCGTGCGCGATTGGAGCAAGCAGGCCAAAGGCCCCAGTGTGCCTGTACTGCCCCTGCCGTGCCTAAAGTTTCCTCCCACACCATCCTGCTGAACGGTATCACAATTCTAAAATGACAACACAAAGTCATATCTTCTGTTTAGAGGTGGAACCTCCCCCAGGTGTCTTGGGGGCAAGGAGGTGGGTGTCAAAACAGGCTTCAGGACGGGTCAGCAGCTGGGGAACAGGCATGTCCAGCCTGGGGTCAGCTGGGTTAGCGAGACCCTCCCACAGATGGGCTTGATGGGCCCCTGCCTTGATTTCGCCGTGTTCTCCAACTACTGGGCCTGCCTTCGGTTCTGAAGGCCAGGTGGCCTCCCGGCCCTTTGGAAGGCATTAAAAAGGTCTCGTGATTTCCAGGTGGGCGACAGTGACCCCAACTTTCCTCGTAAAGCTTGTTTAAAGGGAGGGGCAGGGGTGAAAAATAGCAAGGAACTCAGTGATGCCCGAGCGTTCGGTCGTGATGGGCACAGGGTGGGTCCCTTAGCCGGCCTTTGCTGCAGGGCCTGAGCCAGCCTGCCCGTCCTTCAGCACATTGTCCATGGGCTCTTTTGTCCCTTAGGACCGAGGTAAGGCTGGACCTCCCGCAGCTCCGTCCAAACAGTGGGCGGACTAATGTATTAACTGTCTCTGTCCCTCCCCGTCTGTAATCGGTTGCCTTAATCAGAAGCATGGTTGACATTCTGGCTTGGGGCCACCAGGTCCTGTTGTGTGATTTGTACCGTTCTCCAGTTAAAGAGACACTGTCACCTTCCGTCTTTCGGGCAGCCTCGCGATCGCTTCTGGGTCTTTTCTAAGTTCACGTTTGGCTTGTGTCCAGCTCTTCCTGGGAGTCCCAAGCCTGGCCACCTCTGCCTCTGCTCTGCAAGTGGCTTTAGCTAAGTGTCCAGTGTCCGAGGCCAGAGAGCAGCAGTGGGACCCCTGGAATTGGGCTGCAGTGAGCAGGGGGCTCCCTGAGCTCGGCCACCGTCAGGAGGCTCTGGGCACGAGCAGGAAGGGTACGGAGGAGCCCCAAGGCCCCTGGCCTTGACTGAGAGCCTGGCATGAGGCCGGGCATTTTTGCCTCAAGGTGAAGGATTGGCGTGAGGTTGGCAAGGGCGACAGTGTCACTTTAATACCGAGACCCGTAGTGGAACTAGTTTGCTGTGAGGCTGATGGGGGTCGGAGGGGGCATGTGGGGGGGGTCACGCTGGCACCTCCCAGCCACCCGATCCTAACGGTGTGAATGTGGTCGGACTGCTTTTCCGCTTGAACTAATGCACGCCTCCTCTGGGACCCCGACTCAGGCCCCACCTCGCACTGGGAGAGGGGACGGACGGCTGGGCGAAGGCCGCCTCCGGAGCCCTCGGGCTGACCCTCCTCCTCTCCCCGCTGCCTGTGGGGCTCTTACAGGTACTTCCCAGGAGACTCTGCTGGCCTCTTCCCCGCTCGCCCCAGCCTGGCCATCCCCTGCCCGAGTGTCACAGGCTCCTCACCATCTCTGTTCATCCCCGCCCCACCCGGCTTCCTGCCACTCGCCAACCAGCAGCTGTTCCGGTCTCCGCGCCGGGCCTCGCCCTCCTCGCTGCCAAGCCACCTCAGCCGGGCCCTCTCGCTGGGAACCATACCATCTCTGACTCGAGCAGGTAAGAGGCCCTCAGGCGTCGGCAAGACAGTGGTGCTGGGGGCGGCTAGGCACAGGGCGGGGGCAATGCAGGAGGGTGGTTGGAACCCCTGCTATAGAAACAGGCAGAACTGAGTTCAAATCCTGCGGTGTCCGCTCAGTAACTGCCCTTAGCCAAGGGACCTGACCACAATGAACCTCAGTTTCCCTCAAAACCAGTGAGGCTAGTAGTAGAAGCCACCTCGTGGGCAGTTGTGAGGGCGAAAGGAGATGACGTATTTCAAGTGCTCAGAAGGGCAGCAGCTTCCAGCAGGCGCTCAGTAAGTGTCCACGCTCTTTGGGTTTTCTTTACCACAGTGGCCCATGTGGGGATCGAACTGGCAACCTTGGTGTTACCAGCACCATGCTCTCATCAGCCGAGCTAACCAGCCATCCCCTTTTACCACCATTCTTGCCCTTAGTATTGCCGCCGCTGTCCTTAGACCGACCCCTGGCCTTTCCGTGTGGTCCAGAGGGCAGGGATTCAGGTCGGTCACATCTACTGAGTGCTTGCACATGGACCCTGAAATGACCAGCACCTGGTCATCCCTCATCTTTTCCCGCAGGATCTTCCTGGAAAGTCGATGTAAAGTAAACGCAGTTTTTCCTACTCAGAACCCTGGGAGCGATCTGTGATGGCCCCCATCACTGGGGAAACCGCTGCACGGGCTGGGTTTGCCTCACCCTCGGGGGTGGCCTGGGGCCGCAGGGCAGGACTCCGTCCTCTGAGAACATGGGTGCAGCTTGGTTACACTGGGCTTGCTAATGTACAGTCACTCTCTCGTTTAAGCCCCTGAGCAACTCTGCCAGGCGGGGGCTCCAGCTCGGTCAGACACACCCCTGAGCCTCAGTTTCTTCTGTGACTTGCCCAGGGTCCCACTGCGAGGAGGTGCCTTGTGAGCCCAGCTCAGGCTTTTCCTAGCCCTGGTGTGTGCAGCTGGGTGTCCTAGATACAGGGCGGGTCACGCTGCAGGAGGGACAGCTCACTAGAGGACCCAGCTTCAAGCTGAGTGGTGGATAAGGGTCAATGCCTGCGGGGGGCGGGGGC